CACGCACGCACGCACGCACGCACGCACGCACGCACGCACGCACGCACGCACGCACGCACGCACGCCCGCACGCCCGCACGCCCGCACGCACGCACGCACGCACGCACGCACGCACGCACGCACGCACGCACGCACGCACGCACGCACGCACGCACGCACGCACGCACGCACGCACGCCCACGCACGCACGCACGCACGCACGCACGCACGCACGCACGCACGCACGCACGCACGCACGCACGCACGCACGCACGCACGCACGCACGCACGCACGCACGCACGCACGCACGCACGCACGCACACACACACACACACACACACACACACACACACACGCACACGCACACGCACGAACACACTCACTTGTTTACGTCCATTTGTAATTTGAATTAATTTTACTAACACACGCAAGACAAATTAAATATAATATATAAAATAAATTAAAAATAATTAATAATTAGTGAAGTTATTTCCGTCCTATCGGACTAACAGAGTGAGGCACTATAATACTGTCCTGCGCTGATGGCTAATCCCCGTTAAGAGTGGCCGCGATGACCGAAAATCGTTCTGGAGAATTTCGGTCACAGCGAACATGGATATAGCACGATTTTTTTTAAATATTATAAATATAATATAATATTACTGAAATAAGCTTAACATGAACTCATGGAGACGGTTGCGCTTGCATATTCATTGTAGAGCAATTCCGATTTCAATCACAAATATCGACACCGTGAGACTTAAATACAATTTGAAATAAGATCTACCATGTGATAGATGTTGATAGAATACATAGTAAGATATTGGACTTCACATTTCGAGGACATGCGAAGCTAGAGTGTTAGCTTTCCTTTGTTTTAGTACCCTCTCACAACTGAAAGGAGGTCTATGCCCTTGAGTGAGATATATTATTAGTATTATTAAAGTTTTGAATACAATTAGTAATATCGCAATATCAAATTAAACGATACAACTAGATCTGAATCTCGGGTATCTCATATTCATAGCTCCACACGTTTTTGACGCTGAATAGTTGTTTAAATTATCAATTATAAATAGTATTTACGGAATGGATGATTAGTGATTTTTCAACCGACTTCAAAAAAGTTCTCGATTCGAGTGTATGTTCTTTTTTTGTATGTATGTTGCGTTATCTTCGCAGATTGTGGCGCGATTTTAATGTATTTTTTATGAAATAGACTTTACCTCAATGGTGAAAAATAAATTTGGAGACAAAATTCCACACGTAATGGTTTCAAATAAATAACTTCTTTTTTAGCAATTTGAAGTCGGTTATTACTTTTTCTTAAAAGTTACAATTATTTATTTCACTATTTAAATAATACCTATTTATTATCAGTTTACTTCACTAAGTAGTGGCCGTGTAAAATATTCCCTACCTCATATCGTCCCGTGGGTGTCGTAAGAGGCGACAAAGGGACACAGGACAGGATGTCGGAAGCAGCGTCTTCCCAATAATAACAAAAAACGGTTGCCAACTCGTCTGCCAAGCATGCCAACTATGGCAAATATCCTTCTATAAGGTAATCTTTAGGGAAGTCTATGTCTTGCAATAGACTTTAATAAGTTGTAGTGGTGTATCAAATTACTTAACAGAACTTCATCATCATCGTCATCATCATCATCATTAGAGTCCTTCACAAATGCACTGCTGAACATAGGCCTCCCCCAAGGTATGCCACAAAGCACGGTCCTGAAACACCTGCAGCCATCGACTTCCTGCATGCCTTAGCAGGTCGTCACTCCGGGGCAGGCAGGAGATGGGCAGCAGCATCTTCCTGATAACAACTGTGATATAATCAAAAACTGCGGTTGCCAACCCGCTCGCCAAGCGTGGCAACTATGGCAAATATCCCCGCATGAGCAACGACGTAACAGAACTTGTTGTTAAATAAATATTCTACATGTTTTTTTTATAGAATAAGTGTGACAAACGAGCACACGGTGGCCCATAGACATTTACGTTTATATTCGATTTAGAATCGAAACGCAGATGCGTCGTCACCTTTAAGGACTAAGATAGAGTGCCTCGTTTCCAGCAAAAAAGTTACACCGGATCTCTACACTCACCATACGAAACAAAGCAGTATTAAAAAGCTGCTATTTTGTGATAGCGTGATCTTTCCCCGGTCGAGCCGATCCATTCGTGCTGCAACCATAATATAGCTGCAACGTGGCGCTACCACGTATAAGAATGCAAATGAACATGTTGATAAAGATTGTTCAGGAATGTGGTTTGTGGGTATGTTTAGGAAAGAGAAAGCTTTTGTATAAAAACTGGTGGTTCTGTCACTGTAATTGTAATTACACGTAGAGTACTCTAAACACTGTAATTTCACCTAAAGCATAAAAACCAAGTTAGCTAAATTTCCGGACAACTTGAATATATATATATATATATATATATATATATATATATATATATATATATATATATATATATATTTGTACTTTGTGGTATCACACACTGACGAACACTTTTCTCTTAGTGTTCTTAGTGTTATTTCAGATCGACCAATTCTCACGTTGTCATTAGTTGTATAATGAGGAAAACATAATGCTATAGTACCAATAATGTAGAGACCCACGAATGCGTGTATGAAATAATACGTAAGTAAGCTGGGGTATAGTGACAGTACAGTAAAGAGTGTAAGAGGCTAGGGGAATAATACACGTCTCGACTTTAAAACCAACTGTATTTAGCAATGGTTGTCATCGCGTCAAATCCTAACCCAGGACTCGCTACAAGTATTCTGGCTTGTGGCCACTACGATCAATTATCGCCTTCTTATATACAATAAAAGTAGTGATAAAAATCGCAAGCTCTTCTTCGTTGTGGTATCATTTTATCATTTTAAATGACATCAAATTATTCAAAATCACGAAAACGTATGGAACGGTTCTAACAAATTACATATAACGATAAACAGGTGACTCATAAATACATTAAACGAAAACTAGGTTAGGATTGCAATGCAATTGTGTTGACCTAGATGATAGTGACTCGCGGTCTTCATTTTTTGTACATAAAGAATAATCAGATCTGCTTTTGTAACGTTGCAAGACTTGCGCCAAGTAGGGATGGGCAAGTAAAAAAATATATCAATATATATCGTATCGATATTTTTAAATAGAATTGATATTTTTAAATAGTGTCGATATATATCGCGTAATAAATATCGACATATCGTCATGTTTTGCATGTTGTTCTAGGGTAATGCCCAAAACTTTATTACTGACAGTTGGACAACGAAAAAATAAAGACAACAGTACATGAATGCTTTTGCAGCTGTTTTTGTCGATAAATATACCATTTTAAAATTTATCCAAATTGTAACGAATTGGATACTCTATCATAAATATCGACATATCACGATTAAAATATCGACAACATACATCGTTATTTTTATGACAAAATATTGACATATCGATAAATCGATATTTTACCGAAGCCTAGCGCAAAGCTTCAGTGACGAGTTACCGGTCTTGAAGTACGGTCGTGTGGTAAATAAAATTATTTACAAAATTGCTGTGCGTAGTTTTTCATTTTTTAGGATAATGTAGATGACATTATCCTGTAACAGATCACTGCTGGGAGTGGGCATGTGTCGTTCTAGAAATTTGTAGACTCACCACGCTTGAAACTGCTACTGCTCTGGCTTCGCTGTGGGTATTTCACGATTGGCGTAAACGAGTTAGTTATATTGCCATGTAATTATTTTGGCATTTTCAATTTTTTTAATAGAATAAGAGTGACAAAAGCGCACAGTCCATCTGATGCTAAGTGGATGCTGTTGCCCATAGACATCTACATTTATCCTCGATTAAGAATCAAAACGCAGATGTGTTGTCACCCCAGAGGACTAAGATGGAATGCCTCGTTTCCAGTAAAAAATGGTCTCCAGATCTCTATACTCATCATACGAAACATATCAGTATTAAGCTGCTATTTAACGCTGGTATTTTGTGAGAGCATGATCCTTCCCCGGTCGAGCCGACCCATTCGTGCTTCATTCATAATATAGCTGCAGCGTGGCTCTACCACGTATAAATCCATAGTTGCCCCTTACGATACCCTTGGAGAGAAACAGTTTGATAGGTTTTTACATGCCGCCACTTCACAGCTGATGGCAGATGTTCACAAGGAGTCGTCATCATTAAAAAGTTGCATCATATAAAAACTTTTCGGTTTCTAATGCAGTGTGGTGTCATCCATTATTTATAAATTAAATAATTGTCTGCGGTTTTCTAATAATTGGTTGCGGGCCCTTAGGCCACCTTAACTGCACTTTAACCTACTGTCACTTGATACGTTTTTTCGTATTTTTTACAAATTTAATGAACTACTGCCGGTCACACCTGGTTCTAGCCGGCTACACCTAGGTGTATCCGCACTTCGGCTTTTAGCCGTAACATATACATGCAAAACAGTGCAGTATTGTTTCATTTGTTTACACTATTTTTTAATTCTTCTTCTTTTACGATTATTTATTGCTTGGTTTATCTATTTGTTGTTGTTTATTCAGAGAAATATTGTTTATCACGCTTTTCTATCAATTTATTTAAACTTATTCCAAAGTGGGCCCCGCCCTGCTGGCAATAATGTTGTCGATGCACTCATTGAGGCGGTATGCGTCCTGCAGTGTTTAGAAATTGTTGCCGTGTTTAATATAAGGCATTATCATAAAACATCTGTTTAATTAAAACGTGAAGCTTAACCCGATTCCCATGAACAGTTAGATACCTATTAGCAATTTTACTGTCACCTATATTGATACGTAATGCCAAAGTTCAAGTGAATGGCAGCGATCCAAATAATTAATAGTAGACTACGCATTACAGGGTTAACAATTCTTTTGAATAAACATTGGCAATATATTTAGGTTAGCAATGAAAAAGAACATAGGAAAACAAAACAGGACTTAGGCAACATGGCCACAGCATCTTCCTAATAACAATCAGAAAATAAAAAAGCGAATATGGTATGTAATTGATGAGCGATTGGATCAGCTCTTGGAATTGCTGTTGTGTTTCTTGTGGTGAGTCTACCGAACCTGAGACACTTTTTATTGAAAATGAGGTATTTCATCTTAGTCCTCACGGGTAAAAACGCATCTAAATTTTGATTCTTAATTGAGAATAAATGTAGATGTCTATGGGCCTCAGCATCCACGTACCATCGGATGCACTTTGTGTACGTTTGTCACCCTTAGCCTGTAAAAAAAAAAACATTTTATTGTTTTTTATCCTTTTCTGTAATGCCACTTTTGGCCAGTTACTTTTTCCATAAAGTCTATGTCTACAAATATTTTTCTGAATTCCCATTTTAAAACATTTTAATTAGCTTTGCGTGTACATCTATCTATATATCTTTTAATGAAATTTTCACCAACTTATAGACGACCGATTGAAATTTGCAATTAACCGATGACAATACGATAATTTAATAACTTTGTCTTTGTCAATTAATAAATAGAGTTGTTATGCTATACTTTTACTTTTGTGGAATAGAGTAATAAAAAAATAGACTTTTAATATTGATGATAGTACAGGTGATATGTGGCAACCCTGATCTCAAATCGTTTATCATAAATTTCTAATAAAACGTATTCACAAATAGTTTTCACGAGTATTTAAACCTACTGTCAGTAAAAACAGGTGTTTTGTAAAAATAAAAGCGCACTTGCTTGGTTCAACACAAGTCTAGTCAATTTTACGTCGAAGACAATTTAAAAAAAAAAGATGCGGCAAATGAGTACACAGTTTAACTCATGGTAAGTGATCGCTGCCGCCTATAAACAACTGCAAAACCAGAGAAATGGCTAAAATTTTGAAGAATAGGCTCTTTTCTTAAAGATATTTAAATTATATCGCAAAAAATATGTATACCTACTTAATTTGACTATTAATGTTATTTGTTCTTTAAAACTTAGTACCTTATATTTTTTTAAACAAAACATTAAACGAACTTGCAATCTACATGATTAATGATTTTATTAAATGCTTGCAACAAATATTTCAAAAGAAATCTAGATTTTTTATAACAACAGTGGTAAATTAAAAAAAGTGACTTTCAATAAGTATTATTTGTAATCTATATTGAATAAAAAAGTTTTTGTTTCTGTTTCATCAATCTAACGTAATAGAGTCAAACTGCATTATAGTAGTAGCACGAATGGGTCGGCTAGACCGGGGAATGACTACGCTCACACAGAATACCACAGCGTAAAATACCATCTTAATGCTGCCGTTTTGTAGGGTAGAAGTATAAAAAACCGGAGACTCTTACAGATAACGAGTCATTGCATCTTTGTCCTCCGGGTGACATCTACATTTGAATTCTTATTTGAGGATAAATGTCAGTGTCTATGCGCCACAGCATCCACTTATTCTATAAAAAAGAAAAAAGTTACAAATAATTATTTTTTATATTTACGTGAATACTACACAATAAATGAAAACAATTATACGGATTATATCGTATCGTAATTTTAACTTCTTTATTCCTGACGTTTCATCACATAGTTTGATCGGCTACCTTCAGTTTGTGAATATTAATTTTTGGTTCAATCTACGCAGAACTAGCTTATATTATGAAACTGTGCCCCCGTGACCAAGGGTGCTAACACACCAATCGATCGATCGTCCAACAATGAATGGCATTGATGGCATGGATTTGTCGACATTGATCAGTAGTTTCTACAACACAGATATATCGATGGAATCGATCGATGGTAGCCCTGCTCCACCAACCACTCTTTATCGTATTCTTCTGAATACATTTTGAAAGACACTGACGATGAGCCCGCAACTACATCAATTAATTGTCGATGAACGTTGATCGATGATTGAACAACATTCAATCGGCCAGTATCCGTTGATCAATGACTACAACTATGACTAGAGCTACCACACCAATCGATTGACATCGATCCATTGGTGTGGTAACACCCTAAATCACCCGCAATATCGGGAATCAAAAGTTAACAATAAACGCGATAAAACCCGTAAAATTAGTTTAAAGTCACAAATTAGTAATTTTCTGAGAAGAAAAATATTCTGAGGGCCTTAAATTTTTATTAGACATAATTTCGTATTTAAATTTGGAAATCAAAAGTAATACCTATGTATAGTCGATTAGAGTTTAAATTACTAAAACCGGGAAAGTATATTAAAAAGAAAATGAATTTACGCCTGCGAACAAAATGTATGGTGAGATATGAATTGCGTAAAGGTTGCATCATAACAGCAACAGTCGCGCAAGTTTTGACCCTTGACACGTGTTATAGAGATGGGTTTTTGTAATCGATACTTTTGTAATTTTAGAATAACATGTTAGAGCCACCCTGCACCACCACCAATGCGTCGACTCAACCGGGACAAGGAACACGCTCGCACAGAATACCAGCATGAAATAGCAGCATAATTGATAAAACGAATTACCATCACCAGATTGTTTTATAGAATAGGATGACTAATGAGCACGCAGTCCTGATGGTAAGTGGGTGCTGTGGCCCATCCTCGATTAAGAATCAAATGCAGCTGCGTTATCACCCGTGAGGACTAAGATGGAATGCCTCATTTGCAGTAAAAAGGGTCTCCGGTTCTCTACACTAATCATAAGAAACACAGCAGCATTGAGCTCCTATTTTACGCTGGTATTCTATGAGAGCGTGATCCTACCTATTCGTACTTCAACTATAATACAGTTGTAACATGGCTCTATCACGTAAAGGATGAGATTGTAGTCTTAATAAATAAAAAAAATTATGCTATGTTTCTAGGTGATGAGAAACTTTTTACTAGTAACAACGCATTCGTTCTTAGTAGAAACAAAACTTTAAAAAAGTTCCAGCCTATATCTCTAGCCTCTAATAGGCTTTTACTATTTTTATTAGGGATATTGAGCAAGCGACTCCGTCCATGAGTCTGTCGCGTCGCTCCAGAAGTGGACTGTGTTGGACTTTACGTGTCTCTGAAACTTATTCCTCAGACATGCAGGCGACCGTGTAATAGCAGTGTAATATCCCCCCCCCCCTTCGATCAACAATACCAACAAGTTTTTAACATCTGAAATAATTTGGAATAAAAAGTCAATTAAGCACTTATGCTTCATGGGAAGTATCGAGGCATATTTCGAAATTTTATTAAATTTAATAAATTTATCTCACGTTTTAAAACTTATTTTCTTCACGCTTTCAATATAAGCTTGATAATGAAATTGTGAAATTTAACGTGAAGCCTATGCTTCATTATCATATTTGTACGATTTCTTAAATCAAAATGTGTTATATAACTTTTTATTTAATCTGCAATTTGAGAAATTAAAATGGCAAAATTTCTTGCTCATATAACCATAAAAGTAATGTTTTATTATTGAAGTAATTGTAACAAACGAGTCCACATTCTATCTGAGATCTGTGAATGCTATGCCAGATAGACACCATGAATAACTCTATTACGAATCAAAACTCAGGTGCGTTCCCATCACTCAAGAAGAACATGGAATGGTATGTTATCTGTAAAAGTTCTCCAGTCTCATCAAAGTCATTACTAGTGTACTAAGGAATTTTTGCAAGTACACTCTCTAAAGCTTTTTCATTTTCTTCTTTGGCTTGAAGTTATTTACGTGGTAGAGCCACGCTGAAGCTATATTATGTTTGTAGCACGAATTGCTCGGCTCGGCTGGGGAAAAACCACGCTCTCACAAATTACCAGTGTAAAATAAAAGCTTATTGATTGATTGGTTTCGTATGGTGAGTATATATGAACCGGAGACTCTTGTTTCTGGAAACGAGGCATCCTATATTAGTCCTCAGAGGTGGTAACGCATCTGCGTCTATGGGCCACAGAAATCACTTACCATCAGGTGGACCATGCTTGTTTGTCACGCTTGTTCTTTAAAAAAAGCCACTGAAGTGACAGTAGCTGGAAAAGATCTCTTCACGGTGTACTCGGTTGCTACACTTGACAACCGAATTCACTATCGTAGTACCAAATTTTTCATATCTTTGACGCTGCTTTACGTCGCTGATCTGTTTATTTGACGCTTGGCATATGTTATCTATGTCTGGTATCCTGGCATAAACCAGTTGGAACCATCGTTATTTGAAACTCGATGAAACGAAAAAGTGACACTAAAAAGAGACAAGTATATACATCTATAGAATTTAGCCTGCGAAAGAATGAGGTAGAATACAATCTATAGTTTCATAGTTTCTCATTTTAGTCTCCTCTTTGTGCGTTGCTCCATAGATGATCAATGTAACTTTTAGCTGTTAAAAAACAATAAAAAAAATTAAAAGTTTATTGAATAAACAATATTGCAACAGTGGTAGAGCCACGCGGCAGCTTTGCTGTCGCACGTATGGGCCGGCTCAAACCGGGGTGGTACCACGACCTCACAGAATACCGGCGTGAAGTGGAAGCTCTGCTTCCGCGTTTCGTCTGGTGAGTGCAGGTGGCCGGAGGCCCAAATCCCCCCCCATCAACATGGTAGCGGAATTCAATGATAGACTACCCCAGGAGGGTACCAGCACCCCTGGAGAATCCCTCGCTGAGCATCCACGACCATGTTTTTCCACTTCTGAGCGTGGGTGCTCAGGCTGCCCCGCGTATTCTGGGGGGGGGGGCAAAATTCCGCTCAAGACTAAAACTGCTCGGGGCAAACGGAGCAACAAGACCAAGGCGACCCCTGCCACGCTGTCCGTGAATTTCTGCAATATCAGGGGACTTCACTCCAACCTAAACGCCGTCCACTACCATCTCGAGACGGCGAGGCCGGCTCTGCTCTTTCTGACCGAGACGCAGGTGTCCTCTCCGGCTGATGTCTCGTATCTCTCCTACCCGGGGTACAAACTGGAACACTCCTTTGTGCCTCGGGCTGGAGTTTGCGTTTACGTCAGAGAGGACATCTGTTCTCGACGCCTCGGCAGACTTGAAGGTTCGGACCTGTCCATCCTTTGGCTACGCGTAGACAGCG